CCACGGGATTCAAACATGGTAGCTTTCTAGTAAGATACTTGGGGGTTCCTTTAGTCACAAGAAAACTCACTGAAAAGGACTGTGCGGTTCTGATTGAAAAGATCAAATCTAAACTTTATCACTGGTCCGGAAAGTACTTGAGCTACGCCGACAGATTAGAACTTATTATAGTTTTCATCTTCAGTATTGCAAACTATTGGTGTAGACAGTTAATTCTTCCTCAGACTATTATTAACTGGATTGAACAACTTTGCTCTAGATTTTTCTGAAAAGGTTCTGATAAGGCCGCCTCTGGAGCCAAAGTTAGCTAGAAGAAGATATGCCTTACGAAATCAGAGAGAGGACTCGGCATAAAAGATGTTAAAACATGGAACAAAGGATATATGATACAACTTATCAGGAACATACTTGCGGGAGAAAGATCATTATGGGTAGTTTGGATCATTGTGGGTAGTTTGGATCAAAAGCTACATTATCAAGGATTCAGATTTTCTGTTAGTGGAAGATATAGAAAATTCTAGCTGGTGTATTAGGTGCTTACTTAAACTTAGGGCAGTTACAATCCCTGTTTTATCTACAAGAGCTACGAAGAAAAAAGATATCTGGGAAGAAATCCGGGTAAAAGGAGATAAAGTCATATTGCAAAAATTGATATGGTTTCCTCTACACATTCCAAACATAGCATGATTACATGGATTGTTCTAGATAGACTATCAACTAGAGAGAGGCACCAAAAATTAGGAATCGTAACTGATAGTTCATATATTATTTACAATAAAGCTACTGAGACTAGGGACCACCTGTTTAGTGAGTGCCCTATGGAAGGCTATTCTGAATATCTTCGGCTTAAGCACTCATTCGTTACCATGGGATAACATGTTAGACTAGGCCAGTGGAGCTTGGAAAGGCAAGCCCCTCCTCACTACTATCTTGAAACTTTCTTGGTGCACTATAATATATTCCTTATGGGAGGAAAGAAATAGAAGAGTACCGAGGAACACAAGAAGTGAGAAAGAAATTATGAGTTCAATTAAAGAGATTGTTGGTATCCAATTAAAATGAATGAATATAAATATATTAGATAGTCTCAATATTTACCTTTGTAACCGTTAGGGGTGTTGACCACCCACTTTTGTTGTTGTAGTGTGCCTTTTATTACATTGACGGGAGATTTTGTGTAGCAATATTCTGCATCTTGGGAAATAAAAATTAAAATTATCCACACAAAAATAATAAATTATAGTATTACATTAAGAGTTAATATAAAAATAAGTATTTAAATTATTATTCAAAAAATATTTTAATGTCTAAATTTTTTTCATTAAAAATAGGTGCATATCGTTTTATTAGTTATATTTTTATGTACCTACCGTTTACTAGCCGCTTTCTTCCTCATTCTCTATTTTCTTTTTTTTCTTCTTTACAATTTGTGTCAATTTTATTGATCAATCCAACTTTTTATTCTTTAATTTTTTAATCGGTGGCAGAACCAATTTTAATGCTGGTTGCCGCCTTCCATTTATCTTTTTTTAGTATTTTAATAAGAATAATTATGTCTTTGTGACATTTTTTGCCTTTATGGAATGTTTATCTTTGCCTTTGTGGAATATTTTTCTCTGTCTTTTGGTAACTTATGGTTTTTTGTTGTTGTTTACGATTTTTTGCTATTGGTTTTGTTTATCTTTTTTCTTAGGGTTGGATTTGACATCGTCACGACTGATCAAAATGACACTTATTTGTTATCATGACGATCTTCCATGTTTTGGACTCTCAGATGGATTTGGATATGCGTTTTGCTTTCGTGAATAGTTTTCTCATGTCGTTTGATTTTGATTTGCTATTTGTCGACAGTCTTTCAATGGTTTCATCTCTTTTTATGCTTTGTTTACCGATGTAGTCAGATTTGTTCATATCTTTATTTTATTCGAGTTTTTTTTGTTAGTTTTTTTAACATTTTCCTTCTTTGGTCCTTATATGATCTAGGTGGCTAGTTTTTGTCTCAATTGTAATAGGAAAATGTCATAATTATATTTTAGATTTACAACTATACTTGTAAATCATAATTGTAATTTTGGATAGTTTTATTTTTAATAAAACTAGCGATTTCCTATAAAAAAAAGTACCTACTGTTTAATTTTTATTTTTTAATAATAAAAAATTATTTTTATTAAAATTATTATTTTTCATAAAGAATAAAAAATAAAAGAACCTTAATTTATTTACAAAAGAACCCAAAATTTAATGAAATTATAAAAATACTCTTAAAAAACTAAAATCTCTGATTTCAACCTGTTACCAACAGTGGACCGCTGGAGGAGCACTGACGGAGCAATGGCGAGGATGAGTTTTGAGCGAAATTGCACGATGGTTCGAATGGTGGTGACGGCGTGACCTATAGACATTGAAATCGACCAAAATCAACGAAAAACATCAGTGGTGGCTTAAAATCTGACGAACCTTCAAACGATTCTCCACGACAAACGGTGGCAGCTTACGACGAAAGGCCAATAAGGTTTTGATCGGAAGTCGACTTTGGTGCTAATGATAGTGGCATTGACGGCCACGACCGGTCGGCTAATGATCATGGAAGGGGGAAGAGAGAAGGGGAAAGAGAAAAGGGGTTGCTCTGCACGGGATTTGTTTTGTTTTTTGTTTTTTTACAAAACTTTTTTAAAAAATTTTAAAATAAATTTTCAAAATTATCAGGGCCCGACATGTGCCACTTAACGGTCAAATTTAATGATCGTTATGGTCTAGGCACGTAATAGTGCTCCAATGAAAATGTTAGACACCTAATTTTAGTAAAAAGTTATTTAGGCACTAAAACGTTTTTTGAGATAAAGTTCATACACTTATTTTTATATTAAGCCTTACATTAATTGAAAATTATAAAATTTGATAATTAATTTGTTTTAATAAGACAAGATATCAAATTTTTAAATAATATTTAAAATTCAAATTATAATATTATAAATAAATAAAAATTAATTTATGATATAATTTTACAATTTTTAATCTAAATTAATCGATAAATTTAATATTAAATATTATGAAAAAAATTAAAATGATCAAATTTCAGTATGAAAACTAAAATTATACTCGGACATTATTTTTAAAAAATAAGATGAAGAAAAGTAATCACTTTTGGTATAAGATTCAAAATATAATATAATATTATAAATATTAGTAAGATTGTAAATAAATCGATCTTGAACCAATACAAATTGTTGTGTTCGCTATTTATTTTTGAAAGTGTTCATGCCCGATTCACGTTCATTTAAATTTTTTATATCGTGTTTGTGTTTATTTTATTGATTTTTCAAGAGTTTGTGTTCATTCATTTAGCATTCGTGAATATATTCATTTAGCATTAATAAACATATTCAATTGGTGTTCCTTTATATGTTCGCACACATGTTCATTTAGTGTATGCAAACATGTAAATTTGCGAGGTAAAAAATTAGTAAAACTATGTCACTAGTACTTAAACTCCTTAAGCTTTATACTTTAAATTCTAAATTTTACCATATTTTCAATTCAGTCTCTACATTCACCTATATTTAAAATGTGAAAAAAGCAAACAAGCTTGTAAACGACGTTGTTCATGAACATAAACGAATGAGTCGATAAGCAAGATGTTCTTGAAAATAAGAGAACCAATCACACTTTTGTTCATATTCGTTAGTTTATTAAATGAACAAAAAAACTTATTATACTCATTTATTTAGCTTAACCAGTGAACGTAAACAAAACGTTATATGAACAATTCAAAAACAGTTAATTGAACGCTCTATTCATTTACACTTAAAGATATATATTTTATTTAAATTTAATATTTAAATATAAATAATTTAATCCAAAACACATGAACAATAAAATATTTTTTTAATTTAACAAAGGTATTCCTAAACATATTTATTTTTAATTTTCTAAAAATCAAAATAATTTGTTTTTATATTTTGAATTATTTTTTAATATATATATATATATATATATATATATATATATATATATATATATATATACACACACACACACACACAAGTTGATCAAACACAATTTTAGAAAGCTTGAAATAGAACTTGTTACTATAAAATTAAAAAAAGATAAAAATTGATTGCAATTGAAAATCTTATTAAGAACATTACTTTTTAAGTTAAACATAAAAATATTTTAGATTGTAAATCCTAAACTCCCACAATATAACTTTTCAATTACAACTGAAATTTTATAAATTTATATAACTTCTTAGATTAAAAATACCTTAAATCAATTTTAATTTAAACTACAACACATCAAAACTACCAAAACACAATTTTAATTTAATATAAATAAAAAATTATTATATATATTTTAAAAAAATAAATCATGTTTAAAAAATATAGTAAACTATATATTTAGCACTTAAATTATTATTCTTGTTCTATTTATGTACCTAAAATTTTAATTTTTTAAATTATGTCTAATATTTAGTTTAAGTTTCATTTTATTATTCAGTCGTAAAAGAAATTAGTTCTGATGTTAATGCGTCACTATAAGATAGTATAACATGATCAATGAAAAATAAAATATATCGCATCAATAGTTCTACTAATTTTTTTGACTAAAATGTATTGAATTAAAACATAAATTAAACGTTAGACATAATTTTAAAAAAATATAATTTGATATCAAAATAGAATAAATATAATAATTTAGATACAAGACATATAATTTACCTTATATATATATAAAAAAACCCTCGAATAAATAAAATTACGTGTTGATGAATATGGTGGCCTCGGCTCCGAATCTTTCTACCCTAGAGCCAGTGTCATCCAGTTCCCATCCCACCTATCTCCCTCTTTTTCCATTTTCAATTTTCCATTTTTATTTTCTTTTGATTCCTGGGTTTATTTACAAAATCTTTTATCAACCCTTTTGTACTATACTAAATATTTCATTTTCATTTAATATTTGAAGTTATAAATCCGATTTCTTTTGAAAATTTGAGAAAAGTTTCAAGTTTTTTTTACTTATTTTCCAATGAAGAGGGGGAGGGGTTTCGCTGCCGCTACAGCCACCATCACGGCTGTAGCTGATGCAGGAACCGCCGTCTCTCCAAAACCGGTTCATGAACCCAGTGGAACTATAAAAGAACCTAAATACAGAGGGGTTCGTAAAAGACCATGGGGTCGGTTCGCAGCCGAGATTCGAGACCGTGGAAAAGATCCGGGTTTGGTTGGGGACGTTCGACTCCGCCGAAGAGCCGCTCGAGCTTACGATGCGGCGGCGATGTCACTCCGTGGGCCTAAAGCGAAAACGAACTTTCTGACCAATCCTCCGAATACCGGCGCTCTCCCTATGGACGACCACCGCGATTTGTATCCGATGGGCTATTTTCATGACCCGGAAGTTTACCCTCGAAGACCAACAAGGAGTAGCATGAGTAGCACGGTTGAGTCGTTTAGTGGAACCAGACCGGCGGCTCAACTACCACCGCAGTCGGAGGTTTCGACTAGGAAGTACCATCCTCGGACGGCGGTGGAGGCAGAGGATTGTCGCAGTGACTGCGATTCATCTTCATCGGTTGTTGTTGATGATGGGGACATGGCATCGTCTTCGTGTAAGAAAAATATTTTACCTTTTGATCTCAACTTTTCACCGTTCGATGAAGCTGATGATCTCTACTGCACCACTTTTGTCTTGATCGGGATGATGATAAAAAAAATTATTCCATATTTTCTTTTATAATTTTTCCATTTAAGCAAAAATATGTTTTAAAAAATGGAATCTGAGTTTCAATTTGAACCCATTACAAATTGACTGAAACCCATTTTTCTTAATAAAGATTTAAAAGATTTAAAAAATTAATTTTCTCATATCGTCGATGATATTAATTTTCTCTGTCAATTAATACATATTACAATTTGATAATTTTAAATTTTATTTTTTTTAAAATTATTAAAAATGTTATTCCATTTATAAGAAAAACACACTAATTGGTTTTAAATTACAAAGAAAAATCATAAATTTCTTAGAATCTCCTAACCTTAACTCCATCCTCATTTTCGGTCACAACCACCTCCTCTAATACCTCCCCTGGCTCTTCTGTAATGGACGACATTGTCCTTGCTATGGAGTTGTCAAATTCTTCGTGATGGTTCTCATATAGTGAGTTTGTCCATATCGTGCAATGGTCGCGATTTTGTTGTGATGTTGTCGTTGTTATGGTGATTGTTCGTAAGGAAACATGTGTTTGGTGGACATGCAATCAGGGGAAGTTCAATTAACGACAACGATAGCTATAGGGGACGACATGTATGGATATATGGACTATATTTAGAGTTTTTAAAGTTTGGGGGAGGTTTTTAAGAGTTTTAAAAATTTTAGGCTTTTTAAAAATATATTTTTTAGTTTTTCTTAAAATAAAAAAATTTTAAAATTACTGACACATATTACTTATGTTGAAACTATTTTTCTTAAAAAAAACAAATTTAATTTTTAAAAATCTGATTTTTAAAAGATATCATCTCGAATAATTTGGTGACCTTTTAATAATAAAACATGGTTTGAGGAGCCACCATCAATATTTGATTAGAGTGTGATTGGACACCAAAAAATATATTTGTCATTTTAATAAAAATATTAATTTTAATTAAAACAACAAATTTACGGTCTGTGTTACCAAAAATTTGAGTTTGAGAGTCAGTTAAGCGCGGGGAAGTATTAACATCCCTACAACGCCCTAAATCGATACCCAATCAATTAATTAGTTGTCTTTGCAATAAAATTTATGAGTTCAAGTTTAATTAAATTCAAGATCTTATACTAATAATATTCTTTGAATTTTAAAACGAAATAAAATAATATATAATTATCTCTTATCGAGAATTTTTCTTTCTAAAATTTATTATTAATTCAAAAATTAAGCGTATAAATAACAATACAATAAAACAAAATAACATTAAGACCTTTTTTTTAAACATATTCTTTAAATTTTAAGAGAGAAAACGATAATATCTAATTATTTCCAATTGAGAATAAATGATCTCTCATGCCTTAAAGTAGTCATTTATTACTCCAATCAAAATGAAGAGATATCAATATTTCGTCCTAAAATTCAATATTGATTCGAGAGAAAACGATAATAACTAACTATTTTCAATCAAGAATAAATGACCTCTCATGCCTTAAAGCAGTCATTTATCACTCCAATCGAAATTAAGATATATTATTATTACATCCTAAAATTCAATATTAATTCGAGAGAAAACGATAATATTTAATTATTTCCAATCGAGAATAAATCACCTCTCACGCCTTAAAGCATTTATTTATTACTCCAATCGAAATGAAAAGATATTACTATTTCGTCCTAATTTTTTAAACATATTCTTTAAATTTTAAGAGAGAAAACGACAATACCTAATTATTTCCAATGAGAATAAATGATCTCATGCCTTAAAGTAGTCATTTATTACTCCAATCAAAATGAAGAGAAATCACTATTTCGTCCTAAAATTCAATATTGATTCGAGAGAAAACGATAATAACTAACTATTTTCAATCAAGAATAACTGACATCTCATGCCTTAAAGCAGTCATTTATCACTCCAATCGAAATTAAGATATATTACTATTACATCCTAAAATTCAATATTAATTCGAGAGAAACTAATATCTAATTATTTCTAATCGAGAATAAATCACCGCTCACGCCTTAAAGCATTTATTTATTACTACAATCGAAATGAAAAAATATTACTATTTCATCCTAAAATTCATATTAATTCGAGTGTTATTTATTTTGAATACCATTGACAATACAAGCAAAACTAAAACAAATTAAAAACATACATTAAGCAAGTACATTAATTATTTATTTTACCAACCTTAATGAAGGATGTTAATTATTTAAATACATCGAGACGAGACATTAGATTTGATCTAACAGTCTTTTCTCGGTGAACTTAATTAAAAGAATATGATCTTTTTCTCAATTCCCAAATTTTAAAATGGAATCAATTTAATTTGTGTTACTTAATGGGATAAACTTTCTTTTTAAAACTATCAAAAGTAACTTTCTTATACGTTAAGACAGTCACTTTACGACAATCTTAAAATGAACGAATATTACCCTTAGTCAAATTATTTGATTCGAGTCAGAATGCTTATGAGGGTACCATGCAAATTATTAAAATTAAATCCTAAACAAACTACACGAAAATTTACAATTTACGATATCAATGTATATTTTATACATGGGCAAGATTCAAAGCACATATGATTGTATTATACAAGTATATGACTAAATAATAAAACTGGAAACTTAATCTCACAACAGTAAATCAAATAAATAACATATATATAATATAATATAAAAAACATACATTACAAGCACCAACAGTGTAATAAATCCATATTTAGGTCCAAAATGGAAATATACAACATTACATGCTGGAAATCGAAATAATAAAAAACAAATAGCTTAGGGTGACCAAATTGTAACACGCGTAAAAAGATGAGGCAAAATCATAAACTGAGGAAAGTTTTAATCAGATACTAAAATGCAAACTCCCAAAAACTAGAGCCCCCACTCGAGTAGTTTACCCACAGAGAAACATGTACATCCCTAACTCTCTAAACGACATCGTTTTGGGACTCATATATAAAAATATATCAGTATAAATTTGTTTACCCTAGCCTCATTTCTCTTCTTTTCATCCGACCTCTCTCCCCTTTTTCTCTCAACGATTTCACTTCTATTTTTTATGCAAGAAAACCAATTGGTGGCCCAAACCACAGTGGCCACCATCACACAACGGCCCGATGAAGGGCCAAACCTCCCCGAAAACACCCAAAATGCAAGCTCCTACCCACTTGACCCTTAAACCAAACTTTAGACATTAAAACTCCCCAAACCATAATCCCAAAATAAAAAAGAACTATCTTTGACAATTGATTCACTTCCTTCACCGTCGATGAAGTGCTTTAAACCCGAAGTAAAGCCTTATTTTCCTTTTTCTTTCAGTTTTTCTTCTTTATTTCTTCATTTCCTTTCGTTTCTCCTCTCTTTATCCTTTTCTAGAACAGAACCCTCTTTTTTTATTATTCTTTGGTGAGTTTATTAGAGGCCATCATCTTCAAATGGTAAAGGGAAATCAAGGTTTTAATACCCTAATTTTTTTAAGTTTAGGTTTGATTTGTTTGGATTGGTTACTCTTGATGATGGTTTTAGATTTTTAATTGATTTTCTTATTGGTTTTTTCTCTTGTGGTCGCACACGGGTTTTATAACTCGAGTGTGCTCAGTTGGTGATGATGATGATGGAGGTCACGGATTTGGCTAAGTCACGGGTGAGGGTTAACAGGTAAGTGAAATGATTTCGTTTTTGTTGTTTTGTTGTTTATTTTGGGCCAGTTTGCTGGTTTGATGGGTACTGACAATGGGTTTGACAGGTGTTAATAATGGTCGGAGTAGCCAAAGAAACGACAGCAGTGTCGGTGGCGAGTGGCAGTTGAGGTGGCGACTAGGGTTAGGGTAGATGGATTAGGGTTTAAGTGGGATATGGTTTTTAGTTGTGGGTCAATTGTATTGGGTTGGTTGGTACTTTGGGTTGATTTAGGGTTTAGGGGGATTAATTAGTAATTGTCTGCAAAATATAAATAAGTATAAATATAAATATAATAAAAAAATTATAATAAACATCCAGGCAAAAAAGGATGTCGAAACTGCCCCTTTTTGCGTATTCTTGTTAGCACAAGAATAGAGGAAATACAAAGAGACAATGAGTTTTCGTTCGGTCGATTACGTGCTTTGAAATATGATATTGTCTTAAGTGAGACTGGAAATGAACAACATTTCAAGATTATGAAGGTGAAATCTGAAAAGAGGATCTGCTCTGTTATTTAAATCAGATTTGGAAATGTTGATTAATGCTCCACTACTCCTTTAGGGTAGATCAGATCTAGAAATATTGATTTAATACACTGTTCTTCAAGGAATATTGAATCGAAGTAAACTTGTTCCACTGTTCATTAGGGAAGATCAAATCTGGAAAAACAAGGGATCTGTTTCACTGTTTCTTAAGGGAACATCAGATATGGAAATGTTGGTTTATTCCACTGTTCTTCAGGAAATATTGAATAGAGGCAGACTTGTACCACTGCTTCTTCAGGGAAGATCAAATATGAGAATTAAGCATTATTTGTTAGTATATGTTTGAGAATTGAAAACATCATGCCTGAATGTTCTTGAATTCAAGATAATCTTGGAAATTGATTTTTCTTATAAAAGTTTGTCTCGTAGTCACCAATATGGGAATCTGTCTCGACTTGAGTGTCAGTTTTCCCTTTTTGGGACTTTAAATTGGTTACTTTTATATTGGGTCCTGATGTCCTCAACCTTTCCTTTTGGAAAACCTAAAAGTACTCAATTGCATTTATCATCATTATGGAAAACCTGTAAGTACTCAATTGTATTTATTATCATTATGCATTTTATGAATGTCATGATCCTATTTATGTCTAAAATGTGTGCAATGATGCAATTTTAGGCTATTTTATTTTTCAAATGAGAACTCTCTTTTGTCAATCGTCTTGTAATTTAGTCAAATCTTGGGCACAAAAATCACTAGCAATTCACCCCGACTGGCAATTCTAATCAGACACTCTTTGGTCGGACATGATCTTGACTCTCTTTATTCCTAAACCCAGGCATTATTCATGACCAGCTACTTGATCAGCGACAAACATTGGATTATCCCAAATCGCTGAGCTTTTATATAGCCCAAGGTTTAATTTTCTGTAGCCCATCATCATGTAGACCTTATGCTAAAACCCTGTCAGCTTCAGAAACTGTACTTTTCCAAAACTTTTTATACAATAATACACACTGATCTCATGTTCCTAAGTTAATCTATATTTTTATCTTCAAATTAGTATGCTTGCAACATGGTTTTAATAAGAAAAAAGACCTCTTTTTATTTATATAAATGTAAAGAGTTATTTGGGTAAATACCTGACAAAATTTTGAGTGAAAATATTAAAAGAAAATAAAGTAGGCGTCCTCAGATATTTATAGTATGAATGCTTTTGAACTGGCACACCACAGAATGACTCAAGTGTATCTTTTATTAAAGGGATCTTGAGAATTGTGACAATGCATAAGGATGACCAAAGTCCCCGAATGTTGGTTAATCAAGCCTTTTCAATATCTAGTCCTAACTCTAACCACCATTTGATGTCACTGCTCAAATCTTCAAAATTAATTTAGAACCTATACCATGCACGAAACCTGAATTTGAATGATTCTCAAGCCACCCTTTGCGGGTTTTCAACTTGAGACCTCCTCAGGTTTCAAGACGCCCTTTACAGATTTTCATCTTAAACCCCTTTTATTTATTTTATTTTATTTTGTTTTTCTTTTTTCTTTCTTTCTTTTCTATTTCATTTTTATCACTTTATTTCTTCAGGCAAAGTATTTCTTGACAGCGTAAGAATTCACAAGGTTAGGTAACTCTGGTCCATCCATCTCGGTGATGATCAAAGCTCATCCGGAAAATGCCTTCTTCACAATATAAGGTCCCTCCCAATTTGGCATCCATTTACCTTTGAATTCTTTCTTAATTGGTAGAATATTTTTAAGTACTAGATCTCCTTCCTGAAACTCTTACGGGCGAACCTTCTTATCATGTGCCCTCATCATACGTTTATGGTACATTTGTCCATGACAAATAGCTTTTAATTTCTCCTCAATTAGATTCAGTTGGTCATACCTAGCTTGTATCCCTCCAGAAAATGCCTTCTTCACATATAAGGTCCCTCCCAATTTGGCATCCATTTACCTCTGAATTCTTTCTGAATTGGTAGAATATTTTTAAGTACTAGATCTCCTTCCTGAAACTCTTACGGGCGAACCTTCTTATCATGTGCCCTCATCATACGTTTATGGTACATTTGTCCATGACAAATAGCTTTTAATATTTTCTCCTCAATCAGATTCATTGGTCATACCTAGATTGTATCCATTATTCTTAATCTAAATTAACCTCTGATAATATCGAAGTGACATAATTTTTATCTCAATGGGTAACAAAACTTCTATCCCATAAGCTAAAGAAAAATGAAGTGCCCCAGTTGATGTCCTTATCGAAGTTCGATAAGCAAGCAAAGCAAATGATAACTTCTCATGCCAGTCTTTATAAGTCTAGTCATTTTCTCTATAAGCCTCTTGATGTTCTTATTGGTTGCCTCTACTGCGCCATTCTTCTCGGGTGTGATAAGTATGGAATTATGATGTTTTATCTTTAACTGCTTATTATTGATTCCATCATCTTATTGTTTAAGTTCAAGACATTATCAGTGATGATTCTTTCTGTAACCCATATTGTAACACCCATCTCCCGTATACCCATACGTATACGAGGTACATATGTCACAACACTAATATTATTGTTCCTAATTCGAAATCCTGTAAAATTTTGTTTCATTTTGTTAAAACATTTAATCACTTAAAGAAAACATACATTAACTTAAATAGACGAACAAAAAGAGATGTTCAAACACCTCATCATTTTACAACAATTTAATTTAAATACTGTTCAGAGCGTTTTTACTAAACCTATTACATGCCAACTAAAATTAACAAAAGTGGATATATATGTCATACTGTTATTGATGAGGTGACTCATCTGGATATCCAAAGACCTCCTTACTCAGTTGTATTCAACCTACGCATGAAATAAACACATGCTAAGTATTACTTAGCGAGACATAATCAATCACAAGTAATGTTCTAAACACAATTTATATATTTCACTTTACACTTCATTGAGTACTCTATAATTTGCATCACTAGTACAATATCTTCATTTATCAACCCATCAGTCAAATCTATGTGGTTTGTATACCCATTACCAATATAAAATCCACTATTATTAACAATTTCTTCGGTTTATACACATACATTTCCCATACAGAAATTCATACACTTACTATGAATTTTTAATCATTTTAGCACACAAGGTGCATAATGGAATTATACACTTAGTATGAATTCCTTAGCATTTTAGCACATAAGTGTCCTATATGGAAATTCAACACTTAGTATGAATTCCTTATCATGTTAGCACACGAAGTGCCCTATATGGAAATTCATACACTTAGTATGAATTCCTTATCATGTTAGCACACGAAGTTCCCTATATGGAAATTCATACATTAGTATGAATTCCTTATCATGTTAGCACACGAAGTGCCTTATATGGAAATTCATACACTTAGCATGGATTCTTTATCATGTTAGCACACGAAGTGCCCTATATGGAAATTCATACATTTAGTATGAATTCCTTATCATGTTAGCACATGAAGTGCCCTATATGGAAATTCAAACACTTAGTATGCATTCCTTATCATGTTAGTACACGAAGTGCCCTATATAGAAATTCATACACTTAGTACGAATTCCTTATCATTTGGTAATCACCATAATACATCGATAATTCATACCATTATGACTATTATAATATATACGTACATATTTAAATGCACTCACCTGGCTCGCTTTGCTTTTATATCCAAAATGGGAAGATAATTACTCTGGAACTCAGCCCTTGCCTTTCGCCTTACTCGACTCGGGAGCTTGATTTCGATCTATCCCACATTCATAAAATACATGCATAATATCAATTGTTAGTGTATTTCCTAAAAACTATTACTTAAACATTAATCAAAATACTTATTATTAACATTTATACAACATATCAACCCAATTTAAAATTTCTGGCACTTCAGTATCGATACCCTACCATGGTATCGATACTACTCTACTATGGTATTGATACCTCTTTCCGGTATCGATACCAAATTAGCTTCGATGTGGCTTGGTATCGATACCCTTACCATGGTATCGATACTACTATACTATGTACTGATACCCCTTTGGTATCGATACCAAAATTAAGTTCGATGTTACCTGGTATCGATACCCTTACCATGGTATCAATATTACCTTACTATGGTACCGATACCCCTACCGGTATCGATAACAAAATTAGATTCGATGTTTCTTGGTATCGATACCCTTACCATGGTATCGATACTACTCAGTAACTTTTATCCCATTTTAGCCTATAGTATCGGTATTGTTCTAGCAGTACCGATACCCTTGCCCAGAATTTCTAATTTTTAACCTGATTTTCACCCAAATGGGGTCAATTTTCGTTATATTAGCCCCATACCATACTATTAAACTTTTCCTTAACTATCCATATTAACATTCCCTCATTTAACCCCTTATAACATCTAAAATCTTTCAAGAATATTCAAAACTAAGAATTAAACCACTTTTTCCAATATGTTCTTAATCTCATCTAATACTTCTAATATTTCCTTTACCACTTTGGCAAGTCAAAACTACCATTAAACCTCAATAAGCACCAATATACTAACATATCATTACAAAACCCATTTTCTAAAATCTCTTTTATTTCCCTTATCTCATTGTTTTAATCCCATCTAAACCTTCATTAAGCTTCCATCATATACAAGGATTCAATAACCAACAAAATTAAAGGAATAAACCATTAAATTAAAACTTACCATTCAACTATGGGGGAACTCTTCTACGGGGAGAGATAAAGAAGAAGAAAGAGAACTTTTAGCAACCTAATTACCCTTTTCCCTATCTATAATACGTATTTAAAATACACTTTAATTTCTCTTCCATTAAAAAGACTAGGATGCCCTTTTAATAATCCATTGTCACAATTTAGTCTAAACTATTAATCCTAATCCTTCTCATCTTTCATTATTTAATAAAATAAATCCTCATATTTTTGAATCATTTCAATATAGTCCCTAAATCAGTATTTGGGGCATTATAACTCTCCTCTTAATAAAATTCGTCCC